TATGAGTGATTTTCTTATTCTATTTGCCTATAAACTTATACGGAGTTAAAGAATGTGTGTTAGTTATGGAAAAAAGAATATAAGAAATATATATAACATGTATTCTTGTACATAGTAATATAACAAAAATATTTCATCCCATAACATTTGCCAAAGTGCCACTAAGTAAGAAAGGCTATGAAGAAAAGTTTTTAAAGAACATCTTAAGAGAAAGAGGCTCCAGTGTGATCTCAGGTGCCCTGGTATGCATTAGCCAGCCATTACTGGGCACTCCAGTGATCACTAGTTTTGAACCAATTACTCTACAATTGCTGCATTTTCAGCTGACAGAGCTGTGAGCCACACAACAGTCCATACAACCTTGGAGTGGATGAGCACCTAAGGAGAGAGTGGGGTTCCCTGAGCTCTCTGTCCTCCAGAATCAAAAAGAACAGCAGTCCTCTGGAAAGCAGAAGTGGGAAAAAGCTATGAAAATTAAGACATAAAAAATGCTGAGTGTGGTGGCTCATGCCTGTAATCCCAGCACTCTGGGAGGCTGAGACGGGTGGATTGCCTGAGATTGGAGACCAGCCTGAGCAAGAGCAAGACCCCATCTCTAAAAGTAGCTGGGCGTGTGCTGGGCACCTGTAGCCCCATCTACTCAGGAGGCTGAGACAAAAGGATCTCTTGAGCCCAAGAGTTTGAGGTTGCTGTGAACTGTGACTCCATGGCACTCTACCCAGGGGGACCCAGTGAGACTCTATCTCAAAAAAAAAAAAAATATATATATATGTGTATACATATATATATACAACATATATATACATATATATACAACCTCTTTATGTCATTATGGTGTTTAAATCTTCCACTGGGGAAAGCAGAAAGAACAGTGTGGCCGTGGCTGGGGTGACAGGGATGCAGCGGCAGTGCCCACCTGGTTATCCTGGTGAGGGGGAAGCCAAAAGAGGAGAAGGGGAGAGTGAGTGGGCAGGAAGAAAAGGGCGTCTTATCTCAGGAAACTGAACATGTTATACGAAGGGTTAAAACACCAAAAAGCAAGACAACCCAACAGGCTTCTGGAAGTGGGCAACCCGGAGGCAAAGCCTGGAAGCCGGAGGGAAGAGGAAAGAAGAGGAAGAGGGACGGCCCAGGCCAGGAAAGAAACAGCCTGGGAACAAAGGCAGGAGACAGGGAGCCTGACTGTCTGGCTGGAGCAGAACTGACACAAGAGTGGCCTTGACCAAGCTTCTAATTCAAGTCCATGTTGAGAGAGGTCCTCAACCATGTCTCCAACACAGCAAGTGTTCCAGAAAATGTGGATGAATGTTTAACAATGATTTAACAATATTCCCTTAATAGTTAATGTTAATATTATTAATAATTAATAAAACTTTTAAAATACTCAATAATAATTGAACAATTATTGTAGATATTTCTCTCTCTAGCTGCAATTTCGTGTGCGTACACATACTCACAAAAAGACACTTAGACCTACACAGAGACACGTGCACATACACTTAGACCCAGTCACACACACAGACCCCTATGCGCAGGCC